TTTAAGATCAACACATTTTCATACGTAAAAACGTTTATTTTGTCGATGTGTAAGGTTTCATTCCATTTGATTAAATGGAACTCATGTTACTCAAATTTAAAAGCAACATTTTTTTTCACCACGGAGCACATTTAATATCATTGTAAAGTCAACACCAATATCGAGAAAGTTTCTCAAAATTGCTCTGCATTTTCATTTCACACACGGTTTGTACCGTCTTACCCATTCATAAAAATGATCCATAACAGTTAACACCTAGTTTGCTTACAATTGTTCGAGTAGCTTAAGTTAGATTGTCAATACTTTCAAATTCTTTACTATGTAACTCAGGCCCGTAGGAGGGGGGGGGGGGGCACAGCCATACATTTTCAGATGAGGGGGCACTTACACCTACGAAAAATTCCTTGACAAGCAAAAAAAAAAAAGGTCATCAGACGTTTTTATTGAGGGGGCACAAGCATATAGTGGCTATGTTTTCTATAGTAATCGTATATCGGCAAAATTATTGCCCCCCGGTTCCTACGGCCATGTAAATTCCGCAACAGTGAAGCGCACATCGCCAGATCTTTAACTTTACTCTGTTTCTTCGCAGACCGTATATCGTCCGATTCAATATCTCTACCACTCAATAAAAAAAAATCAGCAAAAGTAACTGTTCTTTGATGAGAACTTAGCTCTAAGTACAGTTATCAGAATATATTCTGTTTAACCTTCCTGGTGCTTATCTGCATCACTCTCAAAATTTTCACTCATCAGTTAAACATGAGATTTCTCTCTTTTTCAATCTTTCATATACCCAAACTAGGCGTTGCATAAAATAATAAACAGCAATGAAAAAATTTGTCGAAAATCCTTCGACATTATTACTGCATTGTAAATTTAGATTCGTAGGAAAGAGAACAATCATATAAGAAAATGTGAATGAAAATTTTCCATCCAGTCTGTTTTTCAAAACTTTTTTAAAAATAAAAATATATTAGAAAATATGTTAATTTACACCTTATTTTCAATACCATAATGTAAAACAAAAATGGACTTCATTTTATTGAATGACATTGCATTGTAGTGCAGTGAAATAAGATGCAGTTAAATTCTTATTATGGTAAACAATATAAATTCTCTTGCAAAAAAGAAAAATCCACTCATCAGTCAAAAAGGAGTGTTCATTTCTTTTGGATTTTTTTTACGCATACTCAAACTAGTTATTCGATAAAAAAAAAAAAAAAAACAACAACAAAAACCAGTAACACGTAACTTTGCGAAAGTCCTTCAACTTAATTACTGATTGTTAATTTTGATTCACATCAAAGAAAACAAATATTTAAGAATATGAGAATAAAAGAAATGCTCTCTAGTCTGTTTTTGAAACCCTTTTTTTTTTTCAAAGCATAAAATGAAATAAAAAAGTGTGTGTATTCAATCAGTTTTTAAATTCAATTAAGAAAAAAAAAATTGACTAAGTTAATTTTGATTGGACAATTTGGCAGGCATCACAATGTATCGCATTGTATTGCAGCAGAGTGCAGTATGGTGCAATTCTACTTGTATTTAAATAAGCACAATTATTTAACTTGTCTATGTATTAGAAATATTCCCCACCATCCACCCTCCAAAGACAGCTTTTATATACAATTTGTCCTTGTGATTGAATGTTTCTTTGGAAATTTGCATAATGTAAGTTTTGTTTCAAAGTTCGATAATTCAAATTTTGTCCCTTTGAACAACGTAGACAAAACGATCATTGATTTCTCCTTTATATTATGTAAATGTTTAAGCAATGCTAACGAGTAACAGGCTTGTATACTATATATAAGACGTTAGAGAGATATTCACATATGACCATGTGTTAAAGTCAGAGTAAATAACGGTTACGGGCAACGTCGCATGTAAAGGACTTAGTGTGAGCTTATCTCACTGAACAAGTACTGCTAAGCAGTATTGAAAAGCGTCTTTGATTGTTCTACAAAGTCATCGACGCTTTGTTTGAGGCTCAAAATATTCACTCATCAGTCAAACAGGAAAGTTTATCTTTTTTTCACTGTTTTGCCTAATAATAAAAATTGACCAAGTATGTTTTAGTTAGACAGTACATCAAGCATTACAATGCAATGTATTGTAGGACATTTATATTTTTATTTAAAAGCAAAATTAATTAGCTTGCAATTAAAGAATTTCACTCGACACTCCAATTTTCCTCGGGATGTTTCGCATATATCCATATGCTCATTTTGTATATACATGTATTACTTGGTTCTAGAGATTTTCCGGATGCAAAGCAAAATTTTATCTCTATACTCGCTGCTCCGTGACGTTCGTCAACGTCATCGGTTTTTTTAATTTCTTTAATGAAGTCTATATGTCTATAGAAATTGATATCTTTTAAACGGAGCAATCATGTATTACATTACATTTTAGCATCTGAAGTTATGGTGTCCCGATAGGGCCATTTGCAAAAGATTTGCAAAAGTGTAACAGCGCGTTAGGAACAACGCGCCAGCGCGAAGTGATAACGCGCTAGCATGTTGTTAACAATACACCATCGCGCTAACACACAACATGCCGTCACTCTTTTCAACTTTTCACAACACACCGTCGCGCAAACACACAACACGCCGTTACGCTAACGCAACTATACTGACACAACACGCCGTCGTGCTAACACACAATTCATTGTGTAAAGTTGTGTAGGCGTGGCGGCATGTGTGTTAGCGCGACAGCGTGTTGTAAACAACGCGCCAGCGCGTTGTCACTTTGCGCTAGCGCGTTCTCACTTTCAAAAGTGTAACAATGCGTTAGTAACAACGCGCCGGCGCGTTGTGAACAACGCACTAGCGCGTTGTCACTTCGCGCTAGCGTTGACACTTTGCGCCGACACATTGTTATTGGCGCATTGTTGCACTTTTGCAAGTGAAAACGCGCCAGCGCAAAGTGACAAAGCGCCGTCGCGTTGTGAACAATGCTAGCGTGTTGTTCCTAAAGCGCTTTTAAACGTTTGCAAATGGCCCTATCGGTACACCATATGAAGTAATAGAACAATACTTAATTTAAAAATTGAAATTTTATTTCGCTTAAGCGCCATCTATTAGAGATATGATTAGAAAAATTATAAATTGTATACCCCAGTGATTAGTAAGTAACTCAATTTTGACCCTGCTCCGTGACCCCATTTTTGCTGTCTTAAATCTTCGAAAATTTTGATAAATATCCAGATTTATTTCTTCTTTTTTTTCTACTCAGATAATTTGAATCTAATGTTTTAAATATGGTTACCAAATTTGGTTATCATCTGACGTTAAATAAAAAAGTTATGAAAAAAGTCTACGATTTTTTTGAATGACCCTCGTACAATGAATTAAGCGTCACAGATAGTACTCATTACTTCATAGGGTTTTTTTTTATTTAATTGACCGTCTCGAGCTTAGTAGGTACATGTATATTTACGGGAGAATATAATTATAGGTGGGTATTCTGTGTGGAGAGGAGAAATCTGTTTTCAAAATGACGAAAGTTAACTACGATAAAAAGGGGTCTCTCCTCCTGCAGTCCTAGCCAGCTGATATAGAATGAACACATTTGAAAGAAAACTACATTTCTGGAAGAGAAATAACTTTTTCCAAGAAACTATTCTGAATTTGATGCATGTAGTAAGCTCATTTTTGTCGTGATAGAACTTTGCCGTGTATGGTATGATAAAATTTGTTTGCTATGTTTGTTTGTTTGCTTGTTTAACGTCCCTTTGAAAAATTTATTGAGACGCCACCACTTGCAGGTGGAGGGCTGCAAATTTTGATCTGAACTCAGCTTTTACGGCCTTTGTGCAGTGAGGGATCTTTTTCGTCCCAGCACCTACTGTGACACGGGACCTCGGTTTTTTCGGTCTCACCCGAAGGACCGGTCTTCACATCCCACATGGGATTCGAACCTGCGACGTAAGGATCAACTCTCTATACTCAGCGACTATATAGCGAACGCGCTAACCGCTGCGCCACGTGGGTAAACTTTGCTGTTCATGGTATGACAAAAATTAGCCACGTAGAATTGTTGGATTTGTTCATTTTTATCTCAATTATCTGTTGAAAAATTTTCACCATTACCGATAAAATCTTTTTAAGTAGGATTGTTTGTCCATTTATACGTGTATGTATAACACAAACCAATACAACTTTCGTTTTTTGTATCTAATAGATTTATTTATGAAGTGTTTTGTGGCCCATTAAAGAGGAGTTTCCTTAAAAATTGTGTTTTATATGATAGTACAAAAAATGTAAAAAGACTTTCTTCAATAAATTGTGGCAATTACCGACGAAACATGTCATTGTATGCATTTATTATTATTACGATCTCAAGAGTTAGTCTTCAGCAGAGAAAATAATATCCACCTCAAAGGTAAAAAATGTCAATATTTTGCACGGATATCCATGATATGCTAGTACTTTATTTTATGGAGCAGTCCTACCTGGATGAAAAGCATTTGGTCATACATGCACATGCGGTTTATGTCTCCCAGTTGATTCAAGAGCATGCTCTACGTACGAACAATTTCTAAAACGAGACAAGCTATTGGCAAACAAGTTGATGAAACAAGAATATCAACAGTCTCGTTTAAAGTCATCATTTCACAAGCTCTATGGTCCAGCGATACAATGACCTTGTCAGCAAATACGGTCTATCATTAAGTCGAATGCTGACTGAAGTTTTTCAGACTAATTGTTAGGCTATTATGTCTGCGGACGTTTCCGTTATTTCCAGATCATAACAAGGAGCACTCGGTGGGCGTGACCAGTCGTCAGGAGATGCTTACTCCTCCATGGTACCTGATCCCACCTCTAATTATTTTAGAGGTCTGTTTTCTCTGCTCCCGATTTGTTTTGTTTCAGTGGACTTATGAGCTTGATAACTTTTCGTTATCTCCATATTTCATTCAAGAAATTTTAGAACTGAAATAAACATATGTGAATTTATACCGGCATGTATTTTATCTCTTAAGTATAGGATGCAGTTTTTCTTTTTAATTTCTTAAAAACACGATAAATTTTAGTACAAAATATAAAAATTACAAATACTCCATCAAACAACATTTTTCGTACGCATCAAGCCAAGTTTCAGAGATATCCTCGGTGATATAACATGTGGAATTTACTTATCAAACTCCGCATCTAAACTCGAGTCATACTCTAAACCATGGTCTCCTTTAGAATCATAATTATCCAGGCGAGGAAGGTCTTTCAGAGAACCGTCACGATCGTTATAAAAATAGCACCAACACTGGGAGGAAGTGTTCGGTTGGTTTTCTGTGTGAGGAGAGTTACTGTGTGAGTCTGTGACACTGGACTGAGTTTCCACGGAGTTCTGATGTTCCACCGATATCAAAGTTCTTTTATACATTTCTGGATGGTCCTCAAAGTAATCAAGAAACCTCATTTTCTTTTCATCCACTTCGTAAATTTCACCTTTGACGTTCTGTTTAAAACAAAATAAAAGTCTATCCCAACAATTTCATTATGAAGGTATAAGTTGAGTTTTATTAATATGGTTGTTATTGACAAAATATTGACAATTTTCATTTTATTATTTATGTCCTTTGATTATTTTCTCCTTTACTTCTTATGAAAACCACTTCCCTGAATCATTCCATTAACTCTAGACTACATGCAGTTAGAACCGGTTTGTGTGTGCGTCGCCTGCAACTTAGGGATCACTTTACCCGGCGTTTGTCTGTCTGACTACCTGTCCGTCTGTCTATCTATCCGTCTCTCACATCTTATATCTCAAGATCTGTAAGAGGATTTGATTTTTTGCACATATTTTGCTCGGGACTATGGGCAATATGGTTTTTGTAAAATACTTAGATTTATTTACACCTGTAATGAAGCTACAAAGCAACCTACACATGTGTTCCTTGGAACACTGACTCTTAGTTTAAAGCCACCTGTATGAAAGATTTTCAGAAGCATTGGACTTTTCCGTCGGGAGGAACACATTACCGCTACATTGCAAGTAACTACAACTCATTACCGCTACTTTTCAACTCGATTTCAAGTGTGCTTTACCGCTACAATTTATCAATAAGAAGATTGGCTGATACAACTCATTACCACGACATTATAAACAAACCCGACTGTGAGGTATACAAGATCTATTTTCATTCATCATGTAGTGGAAGCACAGAGTATAATGACATGTTGTATTCAATAAAGTTCTTTCAGCCTATAGTTGATATTATAGAGTCAGTTGAACAACATAATTTCCTTTGAGAAGTTTTGTTTTGTTTTTTGTTTTTTGTTTTTTGTTTTTTTTTTTTTTTTTTTTACAAATCGCGCTAATGCAGGTTTAATCATTAATGGTAACAAATTTCGGAAAAATAAGACATGTACTTTATATATGTACATGCGTCAGGCTCTGGCTAACGGACGGAAGAGGCATTGTCGTGGTGTCGTATGTTTTTAAATGTAGAGGTAATGTATATACAATTTTGTGGCGGTAATGACTATGTAGGGTTATTGACTATGTTGAAAATGTAGCGGTAATGTAATGCACCCCTTAACATGCACTATGACATACAGATCATAATACAACATTTACGTTCTTTAACCTACTTTATAAGATCATTTATACAAAACACACTAATTAATAATAAATATTAACAATAAAATGTTTCCATTTGTTTGTTAATGCAAGATTAACAATTGCAACCATTGCAAAATAAAATTTACTCAGTATTTTTTTCCTGGAAGATTGCAACCGTTAATTTCCCGTGTTTACAAAGAAAGAAAGCGTTTTATTGTTTCTGCAGTAAAACACATCCATGCAAAGATTTGAACAGTCATAGCCTTATATATATTTACAGCAGGCCTCAATTTTTGACTAAAATTCAATCAGAATATTTACCGTTCCTGTCCCTGGTACGTGTAACAGGCATGGCAGATTATATAATCTCTCTATCACAAGCGGGTACTTCTCCATTGTTTTTCCTTGGTTAACAAATTTTGCAGACCCAGAATCAGGATCCATCAAACGAAAATAATTAGGTTGTCCACTTTTAAGTGTCCCATATACAAAAACCCTGTTCATCGATGTGTTGTTTAACATCAGATTTTATGTGTTGTCTAGTGAGAATAACATAAATGCGTTATAATCTGCACTCATTGAACGAATAAAAAAAATGTAAATAAACACTCTTAATTTAGAACAAATTGATAAAAGGGTTTTATGAAAGGCGACAGCATCGAACTTTATAAAATTATTTACCAGTATGAAGTTCGTGGATTGCTAATAATTTATAGATTCGATTGAATCCATCACTTAAAAAAAAAAAAAACAAAAAAAAAAAAAACAAACAAACAAACAAACAAACAAAAACGGGCAAGTTAATTCAGCCGTAAACATGTTTACATTAAAAGTTTAAATCTTATTCATAAGCTAACATCATTAATAAATATTAAATCAAGAATTAACTGTATAAATTGATTTTACATTTATTAACACACGCATTTACGTTTATGTCTAACCAATGAGTATCATGTATAGTTTTTTGTCCTGGACGCGTTTCCGTAACCTTACACTATAATCATAAAAAAAGTAGGCCTATATAAATTAATTATGTCAAAATCATAGATTAAAATAGCATGAAATAAATATTTGCAATATCTACCTTGGAATTAGTTTAACAGTGTTAAAGAATTACGCAGACATTACTTTGTAAACATAAAGTCTTTCCATCGACCGACTTCGGACTCTGTTGTTCGGACTTGGATTCTAGTTTTTGCCTGTAGCGCGGCTCAGAAAGGACATCGTCAAATAAAAAAAGTTTTCACCCCCCCCCCCCCCATTTCATTTAAATACGTATATCTCAAAGGAAATTTAATGTCATTCAGTTTTTCTTTTTAAGAAAGAATGTTTACTATCTATATCACCATGTAATTTTTTCTTTTCTTTTATCTTTTATGGAAAGTTACGCATGGTTTCTACGCTTATCTTTCTTTGTCAATGTTGTGCTGTGAATTTATGACCTGTTATGACTTTCTTAAACTTTGATGAAATTTAATGAATAAATAAATAAATAAATAAATAAATAAAAACAACCCCAAAAAGCCTGCGACATCATTTTTCATCTACGTGCTTCTCTCAGTGAACACAAAGAAAATATTTCCTAAATATCAAATTCTAAAATATCTCGCCGATAGGTCAAGTAGAAAACTGTGGAAGGGGAGGGGGTGAATATCCTAGCAGATACAGCATATTTAATCAGATCTGCATCAAAACCCATTCTTTTATTACTTTTCGTACCCCCCCCCCCCCCGGGATGGCGTTAAGCCCACAATATTATATGTAAAATGAATTTTACCCAGTTGCAACTAGTTTCGAATTTAATGAAATTGAAGTTAAATATATACATTAACCGTTATTTTCTTTCAGAAATTCATTGGAGATCTACAAGTTCCCATTTCGCCTTAACTGTGAAATACAGGTAAGAAAAGGTTAAAAAAAAAAAAAAGTATCAAGACAATTGGAAATTTCTTAGCAATATTATAGTAACTGTAAAAGCAAAATTAAACCTGTAAATTAATATTAATGTATACTAAATTACTAATTGATACTAAATTAATAAAACCTCTAAATGTTTTTATTGTGATTAGTTAATTACATAGTTGGAAAAGCAATATTTTGGATTTTGAATAAAAAAAGAAAAGAAAATAAAAGGAATATTTTAATATTATTTTAGTGTAATATGTAAATATTATTACTGGATTGAAATGAAAATTTAGATGATAAAAATTATACTCAATTTATTTGGAATTAATTTATGAATACAGTGAATATACTAAAAATGTTTTTTTTTTTTAATTAGTTTTTCAAAATAATTTTGACATTTATGATGACTTTTACGCAAAATGTGTATAACATTGTTTATCAATTAATGTTTAGAAATTGTGTGAATAATTAATATATATAATATCTTTTATCTCCATGCCATTTTCCCCAAATTACTCATGCTTGATACAATAATACTACTATACATACAATATTTAGACTTAATTAGAGGTTTATGCTGATTTTTTGTCTACGAACATCTGATGGCACTATAATCTTAAATTAAGAATATCGAATATATATCTTGAAAAATTGTCAGTAGGTAAGGTACGTTGCGTATGTCCTTATGTAAGTTTCATGTTGATGTTAATAAAATGAATTTTAACATACTGATAAACAAGTTGCATGTCAACAAAATAATTTGCATGAAGTTGCTTGTCAACATAAATTAGTTGCATGTCGACATAAATACTTGCATCTTGCATTTGAGAAAACTTGATATATTTAATGAAAATTTTCCTGCATCAACATAGTTATGTCAACATAGTTGATGTTGACATAATTATATCTTGCATGCCTGTCAACTTAATCTTTGGAACCCGCAACCTTTGGAATTTTCAGTTATTAAAATTTTATGTAAAAATCACGAAAAACTTACCTTGGAACCCCCTCTCCTAGGAAAAAAGGACCCCTCTTAAAACGGTAGAGAGTCATCTATCTGAAAGAAATTGACTTACGAGAGTATCATCCCCCCCCCCCAAAAAAAAGTTTGTTTTTTTTTTTGTTTTGTTTGTTTTTGTTTTTTGTTTGTTTGTTTGTTTGTTGTTTTTTTTTTTTTTGGAAAAACAATTTCCGAGATTGACATGCGTTACAGTTCAGGACCCCCTGAAAAATACCCTTGACCCACCCTGAGCTGAGTGGTATAAATAACAATTTTGTTGTCCCCCCCCCCCCCCCCAGTCCACATTACTTAACTCCAACAATAAGGAATACAAGAGTGGGGAAACTTGATGGGTTTCTATATTTATGCCTCTGGTATCTGTCGGATATTACTGCATGTCGATTGGTTATTAATTCCTAACCTTTGGCTGGCTGAGATATATCAATCGTTGCTGATTGGATTTAATATATAATAATTTGATTTGACGATTCATATCATGACGATTCGTATCATTATAGTTTCTTGCAGCATCAGAAACTGAAATGATCCATTGTCAATGATTTTTGAGCTTACATCTTGAAGAAGTCTGTAAGTATAGGTTACATGCAGCACCCCGGAGCATCAGTGGAGATACTCGTGTCTCCCTAGATGCGCCATCTATGCAAGTTCGGTCAATGTAAAAGGTTCCAAGGCCGTTGGAAGGGGAGGGCCTGGGGTGCGTTGGGTGCGATCGCACCCTCCCCCTAGAAATAATTTGTTATATTCATCTGTATAAAGAAATGTTGCTAGATTTTGTTTATCCAATATGTGAAAATGACTAAGGCTGTGTGTATTGAGCAAAAAATTGTTATGCGATATTTTATAAAGCGATATATGCGATATATCGAATTCTTTAACAAGTCTATCAAAAAAGTCTTGTAAATCATTTAATGCATAACTTTTGTAAAAACTTTGTGTTTTATAACTCATTATTTATTCACTGCAATTTTCAAACACTGGAAATGAATTTTTAAACCCATTCATTTTTTTTAAATTTCTCTCTCTGCCGGGGATTAGCACATACCATTTCATGACGTGATTCGACTTTTTCACTCGGCGAACGGAGATATAAGAAAATAAAGACAAGCATGTCAAATATATCGTTGTGTAGATAAATTATCCTAGAAGACAATGGTTATAAAGAGTTTGCCAGTGCATTTCGTCTGAAAGAGTAAATGAATGCGATTTGGGGGGGGGGGGTGGTACTCCATGTAATTCGGAGCTGGATACCTTGTGTTATTATACATACTATGGGTTAAAAAAATACATTTTCTTTGAAGACAAGTCAAAATGTATAGTTTTGCATTTATAAATTTAAAAAAATGAGCAGTTAACACCAGGGCTTTCAAATTTCACAGGTAAATTTCTTGTTACAAGACCTTTTTTGAATACCAACAATTTTGACCTTTTAGACCTTGACCTTAGAGTTTGACCTACTTTTGAGAAACTTTTACCTTTGCCATAACTTTTGAACAGATGGTGCTAGGTCTTTTACATTTTGCATAATTTTATGTATTTCTAATGACAAGATCTTTTCCTGCGTACAATTATTTTGACCCTTTGACCTTGACCTTGGAGTTTGACCCAATTTTAGAAAACATTAATGACCTTAAATTGACGATAACTTTTGAATGGTTGGTGCTTGGGCTTTTATATTTACAAGGTATATCCACTGAAACAAGTCCTTTCTTTGGGTTACAACAGTTTTGATCTCTTGACCTTGGAGTTTGACTTGCATTTGAGAAACTTTAACCTTCGCCCTTAGCTGTCATATGGGGGCATCAGTGTTTCACAAACACATCTTGTTTTAAATTCTGATCATCTCCTGGACTGTGTGGAGAACACGGGTGCATGTACTTAAAAAATAAATCAGCCAAATTATTTCCCTCCCCTTTTTTGTTTATTTGTTTCTTTCTTTATTTAATTTTTGATTAATGAGTAAAAAGGCAGCACATTTAAAACTCCGCGCGTTTTAGAAATAACTTTCGTTTTGGCAAAATACAATCCTAAATATGGCTGTGGGAAATTCCCACAATGCACTAATATTATCGCCATTTCCACTTTGGAAATTCAATGGATTCGTAAAGTGCTGAATATTTTTAAATAAGTACACTTTAAATATTTTCTCTGGCATTTGATTTGTGATTAGGAATACAAGGTAAGTAAGAAATAATGAGCAGCTTTTTCATTCTAAGCGACATCAAACCTTGTCTGTCAAAAGTCAAGCAGGTCAGACAGGAACTGGGAGAAAAATCAAAACAAATCTTTTTGCCGGCAAAAAAATTGTGATATTATATTTTCGTAATAGTTTGAACAAAAAATTGTAGACTCTTTTGATAGAGAAATAGTCACATTTAGTAATCATCTTATTCTAGATAGGCAATAAGCCATAAATTTGACATGTGCATTTTAACCATGCATCATCAATAAATTGTCACACCCAGATTGTGATGAGCCACTTATACATAACACGGAAATGCTTATTTGTTGTCATCAGTGACGAGTATCCTTTAAAAAAAAAGAATGAAAACAATAATGTGAAAATATAATTGCTACAATATTTATTGTTAACTGACGAGGGAAAAATCATAAAATTACCATCATATTAAAGGTGAGTCATTCAGTGTTTGTATGATTCATATACTAGTAAAGCAACATTTTGTAAACTCCATGTGATGTATAATAATATGATTGGATGATTGCAGTAATTTATGTTTCCCTTGTTCTTTTTGCTTAATTTATAAAACTGTTCTTTAATATTATATTTTTCAGAGACTCCTTCTGGTGGATAATACACCAAACCAAAAAAAAAAAAAAGAGGAAAAAGAAAAGAAGTTAAGATGTCGAAGGCAAAGACTCAGCAACCACAGGTTATACACAAAGTGATAATGGTAGGGAGTGGAGGTGTGGGAAAATCAGCTCTGACCCTGCAGTTTATGTACGATGAAGTGAGTAAAGCTAAGATTTGGTGCTCTACAATAATGTGTCAGTTCAGCAGTTTTATCAGTCAACATTTATTGGAATGTATGAGCTTAAGTAATTGTGAGTGACATTGCTTTCTGCTCGGGAAGCAACCTATCTATATATTTATATAGAAAGTACTACATTGTGTAGTTGAGGTTTTACGAGACTGTTTTTACAGAATAGCAATGATTGGGAAGGCCTCTAAGGACAAAGGGACTATGGTGCCAATGTTTAAATTTTTTTTCAAAATGAACAGGCTATCTATAGATTATGAAGGGCCATTTTGAGAAATAATGAAAAGACTTATTAATATGATAAACACAATATAAGCTTTTATATATATTATTAATTACTTCTTATTCTTCATGCAGTACATGTAAAGAAATTTTTAACCCACTTACAACCCATATTTTTGGATAATTAAGGTCAACATTTTGATTGAAGCATAATAATTTGAAAGCAGTTAGGTACTATATCTTCATTGTTGTAAAGTGTTAAATGTGACAGGAAACAGTTTACTGGTAATTATTTGGAAGAGTTAAACCATTGAGATTTGTTGTATTAAAAAGAGTGCATTAAGAATGATAGTAAGACAATTGGGCGAGTCGTACATAAAATATTTCTTATGAACATTGTCAAGACTATAACCTACCACGGATATTTGAATACGCTCTTTGATGCAATGACTGATTGATTTAACATGTCATTTTTCATCTTTTTGGTGGGACTATGGCATATGGCACAAGCCCTTCACAATCACTGCAATAGAGACAGTAAATGTTCTATTAACTTACTGTTATTTTTCGTAAAAGTATTTTTTACCTGTCCAAAACTTGCAGGTGATAGTCCTGCCAGGGGCTATAAGTATTAAGAACCTGGGTTATGTCTTCAAGGGCGAAGACAATTTAAGGAGGGAGGAATGTAATGGTTTGGGCTGTGGATATCGGCCCGGGTAGCTCAGTTGATAGAGCACCTGACTAGTGATGCAAGGGTCCTGGGTTCAATTCCCGGTCCAGCCTACATTTTCTTCCTTCCTGTTACACACTTATTGATAAAAAAATGAGGGTAAATCATATCGAATGGTGGGTTCCTTTAAATGTGTTGAGCCCTGAATAAAGACTAACAGGGTTTTTGATTTTTTGATAATAAATTATCTTTCTGTGCTAAAAAGATTTTTTGAAAAGCATATCAGACTGTAAAATGAACTGTTTTAACTTTTTCTGCAGATATCTTATATTGTCTTTCTGTAGTTTGTTGAAGATTATGAGCCAACAAAGGCTGATTCCTACAGAAAGAAGGTAGTGTTAGATGGAGAGGAGGTGCAGATTGACATTTTGGACACAGCTGGTCAAGAGGAATATGCAGCAATCAGGGACAATTATTTCAGGAGTGGGGAGGGATTTCTGTGTCTTTTCTCTATAACAGAGCAGGAATCATTTCAGGCCACGGTAGATTTTAGGTTAGTATGGAATGTTCATATTATATAAGATATACTGATAACAGTGCACATCCCTAACATGGAATATCATTATGCGAATAGTCGACCTAAGAGTACTAAACACTGTGGTCAAGAAGTTAACATGGTTTAGACTTGTTTTTAAAGGTGAATTTGATGTAACCAACAGTTTTTAAGTTTAATTCCATCCTCGAAATGTCAGGGGTCCTGAGTCAACACGTTGCCGTGGGACCTCTGGCCAATTTCGTCCAATATTTTAGGGCTTTCTTCTCTCATTGAGAAGCACCAATCAAATTAAAGCTTCCATAAATAGGTAGATAATGTAAAAAGAAAGGATTCAGTTGACACCTTAAACGCACGTAGTACAAGTACTCCTACAAGAAAGAGCCTTGCTTAACGTCCCTATGCTCCTTATATACGTTACGCGGCGCCAAGTCAAAAGTAACTCGCCGTGAACTTCTAGGATGCTAGAGTAGTGATACAAGCTGTTTATCAGAGAACCGCTTAATACAATTGGTTGAGAAATAAGAAAAACAATCAAGATTTGAAATTTTTCAGAAAGACGTCACTACAGTCAGCCCATGAAATATTGAATGAAATGAGCCAGGGGTCCCACGGTAGTCTTGGTACCCCTGGCATTCTGAGGATAGTTTCATTCATGAAATTAAAGTTTAAAATGGAAGTTCAATAACGGAAACGAAAAACAGGAAAATGAACCAAAAATTGATTTAAAAATCACAAGCAAGAAGTCTATTTCCTTGACTTATCAGGCAATTGAAACACATTTTTACAGCTGTTCTCCAAACTTCAGCAGAAATTCAAACATTTTGTTGAACACCTGTGTTGTAATCTCTTGTGATAATCAAGCTATGGATTCAGATCTATTAGAAATGCTGTGGTGTTGTATATGGATAATTTTTATGGTTACATAAATCAGTTACATGCTGCACTGAACTGAAAAAAAAATCATCAAATTGGCAGTTTAAAATAGGTCAATAATGTCATCTGTCACATCTGAGAACGAAACAAATGTACAGGCATCTTTAGGTATCCAAAAATAATGCCACTTCATCTTACTTCCCTATATAGACTGAGTATTTTATATCATAGCCTTTGGGGTCAAAGTTCTTGAGTCCTTTATTTTACATTGGAGAGGGAAATTACTTGTTTTGATATATACTTATTCTGGAGGGTGTAATGTTTATAAATAACATTATTGGTACTGATATGCATTTGCATCCAAATTGTGTTAGACCAAAGTTCATTTGTCAACATCAAATATAAGTTGAACCACTCCAGTTTTATTTATAGATTTATTTCAAAATTGCTTAGATCCTATTCTGCTTTAGAATGCATGATATGAAGAAAAAAAGAAAAGGTTTGAAAAAATTATTCTGATTTTACTTATTCTCTCAAAGCCATTTTGTTTGTTTTCAAGTTTTTTAGAATATTTGTCAATCTGAATCTTTTTGGATTGTCATATGTGGGGTGACCCTCATACATGTATAAACATACAGTCAAATCTTGCTACCTCAAACTAGATGGGACAAAGACAAAACTTAGAGATATCAGAGGCTTTGAGATATCAGCAATTTTTTTTCTACCCATTGGGAATGGGTCCAGTACCAATTCAATTGGAAAAAATAGTGTCGAAATAGAACAAATGGGAATTTTCTGTTATGTCAACTAATGAAATTTATTTCACGTTTATTCAAACTTCAATACCTATTTATTCACGCTTTAAAGAATAATCAACAAATATTCATTGTTTTACATATTAAAGTCCCTTGTTCTCACATTGTCATGCTTTCAAGTTGTCAAAAATGTAAGATACTAGCATGTGTCAACAACACGCATCCTGCCATATTGCCACTGATCTCTACTTTCGATTTAAGAGAAAATTAAACATTTAGATACTGTACGTGTACATAAATTGGCATATTCAAAATTTAGTGCAATCACTGGGAATGGAGTTGTTGGCTAAATCATGAATTAGCGCTATACATGTCCGTGCCGTATATTGTATTTATAAATGATTTCTTAGCGGTATTCATGAATTAGTGCATCGTTGTCTGCGCCAAAACCGCTAAAATATGAAGCCCACATTTTTATGTACACATACAGTAACCCGTACAATGTTTCATATAAAAAGAATAAGGATATCACACTCTATTCGACAGCAGTTGAATTGGGAAATTTTAGTCTCAAAATTGGGGAAAATTAAAGTTTTTTGGCATTGGAAATGGTACCGTTTACTGGTACCAGTTATATAAGGAAGAAAAATGCTGGATACTGAGGGTAAAATACTTAAAAGAATAAGCAGTTAAGACTTCAAATTCACTTTGACATATCCATCACGCATTCGAGATATCATTGTTCAAGATACTGAAGTTCAACTGGATATACATGTATAACTTACAATTTCTTTTGCTGTGGTAACTTGGAAGAGAAAGTAAGGAACAAGTTTGAAAAACTAGTTAAATGCTTAATGTAAAAACACTAGAAAACAGAGAAGAATTTAATATCACAATTGTGCATCTATCCTTAGTTTTAATGAAATACATATATGTATAGTTAACACACATCCTTAACCTGATAATGTAGTTCTATTCTTATTCAAGTTTTATAGAAATTTTCATTCATCACAACAATGTGGTTTGAAAATACATTGTAGATATATATCCTACATTTTTAGGCAGTTTGTTTATGCAGAGATTCCCAAATATTTTTCCAAGCTGATAAAACTCTTAACATTCCATTTTTATGATAGATCAGATGATATTCTTTAACACATGTTAAATACAGGCTTCAGAGGCAGTCAGGGCTCAATAAACTTATTGTCTGTTAGAAATGGCTAGTAAAAAAATCAAGTGTTTGAACATCTGATCTCGTTAAAGAACAGATCATTTAAACAAGGTATATTGTACATGTAAATGCTAGAAATCTTTGTCTGCTTTTTGGAGGATATAAAATTCTACGAACAAAAATAAATGAAAAGATTAATTTATTTTCTGGAATTGGTTCAAAAGAATAAGGAATTTATAGATTATTATAAAACATGATCCATTGATTAGACTTTGTAATGTACTTCTTAATTGATACAAGAATACCACCACATAGTGCATGTTTTAAGTTATATAACATTATCAGGAATTGCTTGAAAGATTTTTTGGACTGGAATTCTTTTTTTCTGCAGTTTGAATTTTCTAAAATATTTCTAATTACTTATGTTAAAAATGAAGTGAAATGGTATGTCTTGAGAGAGTTACTAGTTACTGCTTAAAAACCTATTGTTTGTTCATCAACAACTTTAACCTTGGTCTTCTTGGTAGTAACTTTTGAACTATATGAGATAAAGATTTTGTATTTGGCCGAGGTGAAGGTCAAGAGGGATCAGGTCAAGGTCATACAGGAAGGGTCAAGGTCAGATCAATATTGTCACAATCACAATTGCAGAGTCTGAGATACCTGCTCTATCATGAATGATTCATGGTTAATAACATTTAAGTGTTGTCCCTAAGACCTGGGGGGCGGGGAATTTCCCTGCCTATAATGATGATATCCCCTGGCTACTCTGGTATTACCCCTCAACCCCTTGTTAGGGGAGGAACCCCAGACCACCCTCATACTTTTTTGATGCCCCCTCCTATTTCAGTTCTTAGGGACTACCCTTACATGTAGATCGTAAAGTTATCTACAGTAATTGTAATCAGTTTAATATTAAAAAAATAAATGATAGCATTAAAAATTTCGAATCATATTGTTTTTATTGTATATTTTGTAGGGAACAAATTTTACGAGTAAAGAATGACGACACAATACCATTTCTCTTAGTGGGTAATAAGGCGGATTTAGAAGACAAGCGATACGTCAGTGTGGAAGAAGCTCAAGAGAGGGCTAAACAGTGGAACGTACCTTATGTAGAAACGTCAGCTAAAACTAGAGCTAATGTCGATAAGGTAAGGAAAGTATACCATCTAGAGAAAATGTTTTAAATGAAAGAAAATCGAGCTGTTGAAATGATCTAGCATTTCTGCAGCATGAAATTTTGCTTGAGTTCTTGTGAAAAACATTTGTTTGAAATTGTCAGTCAAGGAAGCATACACAACACAGAAGCAAGGACATGAATAGGCTTTATTGTATGGAGTGACATGCACAGGGAAGTCATTGTGTTTTATAGAGTAGAACACTGGAAATTGATCTGCTGTTGAGTCTAAAAGGAAAGGTAGAAATACAACAGGAATAATGGCTATAGATTCTAATTTCAGTAGTTTGTGATGGAAGGGATTTTATTTTTGATCTGTCCTGCAGAGAATGATGGTTAAGTAATAAGTCAAGACCAGTGGATATCTGTTAAGGTTTTACCAAAGGCCAACATGCCCAAAAATTTATTTTTACAACAGCTCCAAAACTATGTGAGGTATAAAGTTAAAACATTTACAGTTTATAAATGTATCATTGATTAACAGATAGAAAGTATCACTTGAGAACAAATACTTAAAGAAAGTATTTAACGAGAAAAATTCTTTAAAAAAAATGCATATATTTTTTAAAAATACACCTAATTAATTCCGTACTTCTAGTGAAAGCCATCATTGCAGAAACAATATATGTTTATCTATGAAAAGCAAGTTGGACTTCGATAGTCTCTGGAAAGTTGTTTTCCCTGTTTATTTTGTCCAAATATTAAGATTTGAAACCGAAAGTACATTGCAAATGGCGGATTTTATAGGGTACTTGTCTTTATACATGTCATGCTTTCAATAATAGCCTTTCAGAGACCATTCACGTCCAACTTGCCCTTCATTGATAAACATATATTATTTCTTCAATGATGGTTTTCACTAAAAGTACAGAATTAAGCAGGTGCATTTTTTTAAAATATGCAAATTTTTTGAAATTGTTTTTTCTCAAAAAATATTTTTTTTTAAATATTTGTTTTTAAGTGATACTTTCTATCTGTTAATCAATGATATATTTATAAACTGTAAAAGTTTTAACTTTATACCTCACATAGTTTTGGAGCTGTTGTAAAAATAAATTTTTGGGCATGTTGACCTTTGGTAAAACCTTAATATCACTGCTTCTCTTGTTCTGGTGATTATTGTAAAATTGAAAACAAGGAAGATGGTAGTTGCTCAAATTTCATACTGGCATTATCAATTAGTTTAAGCTACCCCACACAATATAAAGTAACAAAATATAGAAAAGGGCTCTGAGGGTGTTACATTAGGATACAACATACAGGCATTATGAAGGAGATTAGGCTACCCCTCACAATATAAAGAGAGAGAATATAGAATAGGGGCTAAGTCAGGAGAGTGTTAGATTAACATACAACCTGTGAATGGTTAGATACCGTAATTGTTCTTATTTTAGCAGTAAATTTTATTTTAGCGCCTTTTGCCCTGGTTCTTGTCCACTAATTCAAGTACACACTAATTATAATATAGGATTTAAACAAATACATGTATAGAAGATTGTCAAATTCCTAAGATTAAAAATGTCCAGATTGCAAGTTATATGTATGACTTCAGTTTTTCCTTTCATTGTGTGGAAGACATCGAAATCTTTGGAAAATAATCCAGCGATAGGCTTGCCTAGCATTTTTCCTGCTCAGATACACAGCTGGCTCTGGTCTTTGCAACCATTGTTTGCAACGTTGTTTTAGGTGTTGTTTGTGACATCATAATCGCCGCTGCATGCGCTCTGACCCTCCTATGAAGGCTTCAATTCTGATGAAGTAGTGTTATGAACCATTTGCATTTGTATAGATTTTACAAGGACAGTAAATAAATATATAATGAAACATGTTGTTTCACAAAGAATATGTAGATAAAGTATGGAAATATTTGATTCGATGATGGATATAAATCTAATCCATGAATGACAAGCCTAATACATGTAATAGATACAATGTTCTTGAAAAAAAAACATGCATCCTGGTAAAGGAAATGCTTATTTGTTAGCTGTGAATTTTTTTTTTTGTGGAATAATTGAATTAGTTTAAATCTGTCCCTAGGCTTTAACAAGCAATGGATTATGCTGGCAAGTGTAAAGATGTCCATTAATGAAGACATTTATGTCCCCTAACCTGATTGTGATTTATATATATGCTGGTTCAGTTCAGCAGTGACCTGCTCTGAATGTCCCCTCCCTTTATTTGGGGACTTTCTGGACAAAATGTGAAGCAAATTAAAATTGATTTATCCATGTACAATTTTCATTTTCATTTGTCCTTATTCTCTCCTTACTCATTGTGTCTCCTAGATATTTAGTCGACATCTTAAACTTTGATGACACAAGCAGCAAAATATGTAATTAATCAAAATAAACATTCTACAACATTACAGCAACACTGTATTCATTGGAAAAAAGACGTGACCATCATAAGTATTTTTCTTCCCCACATAAACATAAATAAATCTATAGGTTTTATTTATCACATGAATGTTACTTGCGTTAACATACATTCTGTAGGCCCTTCCTTTCATTTTAAGTATTTTATTTTTCTGCCCTATAGGATAAATTTGTACAATATTAGGTCCCATGTTGTGTATATTAATAAAGATTTCCCAGTCATTAAACTTGACCACTGTAAACCAATAGGATTAGGAAGGGAAAAAAAACCAAAATGTATTTAAAAGAATTAATGTGAACAAAATACACTACGAGTTTATTCACTTCAAAATTAAGTGCCTTGATAATACTGGCTTTTTATGAGGCAAAATGTGTTTAAGGGGGATTTTGTGCTTTGCTATTTATTTTTCAATGATACATGTTTGTAGCTTGGTTAGTAAATATTGGCTTTTGATAACACCAAATTCATTTGTGTGCAAGTTCAAAAGAACATATGTTTAAATGTTTTAATGTCTGTTAATCATGTTTTAAATATAGACCTTGATAGTTCCGTTTATCTAATGACATAATTTTTGAGAGTGTCTATCAGTGTATACTTGTACTCTAGCATCAATATTGAAACAAATAAACAAATTGGTTTGGAAACAAGTTGAACCAACAATTAAAGAATCCATCTCCTCAGTGCACTGAAACAGAATTTTGTAAACATCAGTAAGGACTTCCTTCCTTGTTTGTGTAAACATATATATGTCTTTTCTTTTCTTTTTTAAATTTTGGCAGTGTTGCTGAGCATCATTTAAACTGTTAATAAAGCTTACAGGTGTGAAACAAAAACTAGATGATAGAGATTTTCTCAGATATATACCTCAAAGTATAGTGATTAATGATTTTACCATGGAATCTACTGATCATTGCAGTCATTTATCAGTTTAACTCTATCTTTCAACCAATGACCATGATGATTTCCTAAATTTCTTAATCAAACATGATACACAATGAGATTCATGACTACACTGTGTATGAGTGTATACAAGTTGTAAGAAAAGCAGGATAAAAGTCCGAGCCAAATTTTCCATTTGAAGGCAGTTGTTAGCCCACTCCCTGTATTAATTTCCCGGAGATCTGTAGATTTAAGTTGATGATTTCTTGTAGGTGTTTTTCATTGCCTGATTAGCTTCCTCAGACTGTTATCTCTCATTGCATGCCCGTCTTATCACAGAGTCTATGAGGTAGTGCAGTTTTCATTAGAAGCTAATTTAGGGAGTGATTTCCCATGCATGGGATGGGGGCTTCTTTTCTTGATTTAGAACACATTTGCAATGGTTAGATATTTGTTTGTAATTGTGGAAAATTAGTTATACCACATTGAACATGCAGAAAAGCTTTTGAAATGCTCACATGGGCATACCAGATTTGAAATAATGTCATAATTTGATATGCATAATAAGATTTTCAATTTTGTTTTCTTGATATAGTAGTGTATGCATTATTAAAACATTCTGGTATAAAGGTTTTTGATTTTCCCAGTTATTTAAACATTTCCAGGGCTTGGATTTTTTTTTTTTTACATTAGCTGTGAAAACATTCAGGTGTTATAGAAACCTAGGTTTTCTTGTGTTTTCCTTGAAATCTGTTGAGCTGAACATTCTGTGATGTGCTGTTAGACACAGATAAAGTGCATGTCTAACACAGGTGTCTGAAGTCTTTCAGTATGTGAAGTATACATACAAAACAGCTGTTAAAGCATTCTGCAAAAAGACATCAATTTTATAAAGATTGATTCTTTGAATTTTGACAAAAATATAAATATTGCAGTAAGTACTCTTAAATGTGTCACCCAACACATCTTGTTGCAGTATGTAGTGGACAGTAGGCATTTTCTTATAAGAAGACATTCTTCACACTTTTTTGTTGTGAAATTAATGTGTAAAATTTCCTACTCTTACTTGGGCACCACATGAATTCTGTTTAGATGATTGCTGGCACCTTTTCATACATCTGTATCACATCGTTTAAACAAAATGGATAAGATATATTTATAAATAATCTAGGAAATGGCATTCCATTTACATTAGAGGCAATTATGAAATGGATTTATGTGATAAGAGTGATCTGCAATTTGATAGAAATCCAATTATTGATAACTAGAGTTGTCTTTCTTACGTGTATATGATGTGTTAATGTGCGGTTATGAGGAGAGAGAGATAGAGATCTACTGTTTTGTAATCGCAGAGTTAATATAAATATGTTTTCTCTTTAACTATTGACACTAATGAATATTTTTACTCCTGATAATATGTAGACACTTTTTTATTCTTTATTTTGACAGTGTTTTTATGATCTGTTACGCATGATCAAGCAAAGTAAGTCAGGTATGAGGGTGGGGACAATAAATCGACGTATTACCCTGCCTACACAAAGGCAGGGGGACAGGAAATCAAAGGACGTGACTCCTAGTGACAATTCCTCCAAAGGCTGTTGTCTGATCTTATAGCATACCCCCCAAACACTGGAACATAAAATAGTGGACCCTGTGTTGAACAAAAATGAGATTTATATCATTCACACATGTGTTCTCTGACATAAACTTCATTGCAACTGAAGATATGTAACTTATATACCGGAATATAGAAGTGTAGTATATTGTTATGCATATATTGATCTTGACTATTGTGGAAAATAAACTGTTAAAATGCAAGAGTAAAGCTCTTGCAGTTGATATAAAAGTTTTGTCAAGAAATTCCAATGTACCTTAATTAGATATTCTAAATTTTGTGAGAAATAAACTGAATGTTCTAAAGTTGTGTAATATGCAGAGGTTTGAAGCTAAAAGTAAATCTGAAAATATATAACGATTGTTTCTTTGCCTAAAGCTTGGTATTTAATGTGAAAGATACTAAAGTCCAATATCTCAGGCAGGATAAAGACAGAAGTAAATAAAAAGACTTGAATTTAAAGCAGTTGGCATTCAAATTTGGATTTAATTTGATAGCTGCAACACAAGTGAAAAATCTTTCCTTGTTCTAAGATAGCAGACAAACTTTGCACAAAGTTTTTAAAGTCATTTAAAAGTGTTTTGATGCCAAATTATAAGACTTGTGGTCCATGGACTTCTTAATTTATTGCACAAATGTTCCATCATTAGAATATAAACACATGTATTATACAGACTTATTTTACACTCGGGTATCCTCACCAATGAATCCTGCTTGTTTTCTCACCTCATAACAATACCTTAAAGTTTAATAATTTCATTAAGAGTGACATATATTATCAATAGTTTAAGTTTTGCTTTAAAGATTTCAATTCATTATTGAAAGTTATACATTTCAAGAATAATGAATGAAAGTAACTTAATTGAATCAAAAAATAAAGTTCAGTTCTATACATCATTTATAATGATCCTTAACCCCCCCCCCCCCAACTGTTTTCCAAATTCTGCAACAATAAACCAAACACTCTTATAATAATACTACACATACTCAATCCCATGTCCCCCTAAAGCTTAATTATTTAGGTAATGAAGACTTAAATTAAAGGTGAGAATTTCATACAAGGTAACTTTTCTCATATAGTGTTTTGTAGCAATACAAGGAACATGGCTTTTGACGTGATTACACATTGCTGCAGTATATTTATCCTAGTTCTATATATTTATTTGTAAATAAGTAGAGTTTTAAATTAAAAAAATGGTACTCTACAGCCCAAATTTACATCTTCATGTGTAAATTAATCTTGAAATAAAGTTTCTATCATTTTAAATTGATTAAAATCAAATTCTTTACCTTACACTAAATCAGTGATTGAATTGTCCATTTTCAGGTGTTTTATGACTTAATGCGAGCCATTAAAGAAAAAAAGGCAGCTAATGCTCCCAAAGAACCCGTCCCAGAACGTACTACTAAATGTTGTGTGGTCATGTGATTGTCATGTGATCAATTTTGGTAAACAACACACTTGGAGATTCTTTGGCTCAATCCTCTCATTTAGTTCTATTTTGCTGCCATGCTATACCTTATTTATAAAAGTTCATGTCTGCTATAAATAATGAGATAATATACTATATTTTCAGAATACCGCATGTTCTACTTTTTCATATATCATTTGCCATTGAACTCCGTTCATTATGATTTCCTGATGTTTTTGCTTTGGTAATGTTAAAGTATTAGATAAGTTTTCATAACTTTGAAAGGTCATAAAAAGGACTACCTGATATATTACATAATTTTACCTGTGTTATATGTACCATTGTGTCAATTACTATATATATATCTTTTAAATGCCATGTAACATATATTCCCACTTTCTGTCCAATAATACAAAAAATCTGGTATCTATGCCATATGATCCTCTTTAATTGTGAGTGATTACAATAAAATATTGTTTTAAATTCTTTATAATCATTTACCAACATTGTCCATTTTGCACACTGCTTTTATTTAGCGATGCTTTTTCTTATATATTTTTTTTAAAGGGAATAGCAGTTCAGTCAAGATTACAATAGATTAAATTTTTTTTTAGTTTCTGCTATGGTCTATCTGCTATGGTCTATGACTAAAGAAGTAATCTATAAATATAACTGGGTATAATAACAAGAACACAAAACATGACCACAAGTGGTCATGTTTTACCTTAAGCTTATCTGTTATATAGTGACACTGGTTTTAATACAACCCTTCTTTATTTTTGTAGGTATTTTATGATTTAATGAGGGCAATAAGAGACAGGAAGATGGAAGCAAGCCGACAGACCAATGGTAAAACTAGTAACAAAAAGAGCAAGAAACGAAAGTGTACCATTTTATAACCATTAAAACTCGACAAATTTCACTCCAGACATTGGTCTTGGTCCTTGTCTTTGACGTACAGTTATAAAAAAGCAAGGAACCATATTTGACCTTGAGAGTGCATTACAATCTAGGACAACTTCAAGGACAAAGGTCATTCAGATGTTGGATTTATAGTTTTACTCAAATGGATGCATATTTTATTTTGCAAGTATGATTTAATTTATCACTATAGCAGTGCAAATTTTTATAATGTATAATGTCATAATGATCACAAAAACTTGTCAATCATAATTCATATGAACTTTATTCACACATGTATAGCTAGTTTGTATGGAGATAATGCTTTAAATATGTTTTTTATTAACATGATATTTGAACAGTCTTCATCTGAAAGAGATCATTACTGTTTTATACATACAGTAACATTAACACAAGTTATGAATCATCTTGATTGCATGTGCTTTGATTTTAATTCTATACTTTGAAACATATATTGACTAGCTGGTTCAATTTTGGAGATTTTAATGTACATGTATATGTATGCAGAAAAATAGCATTTCTGGTTTATTTCATAAAGGCTCAGTACGATAAGTTCTTTAAAAATGTTTCTGAAAGGAGAAATATGCTGAGATTTTTACTCTGTCATAGTACATATATATCTTTAAAAGAGAATGTTAAGAGCATTTGTTTTCAAATTAATGGTTCAATCTACATACATCTATTATATAACTTATCTTGAAAATGTTTGCTAGACCTTTGCCTGAAAAATAATAAGTTACGGTTTTCAGATAAATGAAACTACAGATGGACAAGGGTATCTTTACTTTATTATTGTCTTAATATCAGGGACATGTCGACTTGAATTGACTGTCCCAACCTTCTTCTAGATATCAGTCTCCATATCTGGAATTCTCTGTTTTATCAAAGTGAGATACCAAGATTTGTCTGTAGTTCTTGGTGTCAGGAAGAAGTCTGGTTTTTATGGAGGCATTTTGTTTGTATGTATACAAGGCATATTCTTTGCGTATGCAATGTGTATTTTTTTGTTTGTATACGAGGCATATTCTGTGTGTACACTGTATACAATATGTATTCTGTTTGTGTGTATACAAGTGTAAAGCTTAAACAGAGCTTTTTTTAGCTCACCTGAACAGAGAGACTTGTATGAATCTCTTGCAAAACATCCAGTTATCTAAATTTTGCCAGGTACCAATATTTTACATAAATTGTAATTCTAATGTATATTGTTTATAAGGTAGACTTTAGTTTGCTTCACAAAGCCTATTAAATTGAGCTTACACAGGTATTGTATACATAGACAGTGATGCATTGTCATCAAGCAAGAAAATTCTAAACTCTACCTCCATAAGAACAGTGATGGTCAGTTATTAATATTCAGAAAGATGTAACCAATAACTGAAACAATTCATGTTACATCTGCATGTATTAACTGTGACTGTATAAATGATAATAAGTGAGTTTTACCTGATGTTTTAACAGTTATATTGTATGCTTCTTTTCCAAACACTAATTTTGATGCTTGTATAATAGGAATACCCAAATATGTGTAGTAAGGTTTTGATATAAATAATAATAGTGGGCCAAAACCATGTTTGTAAAGTTCTTGTGAGAACTTCACATTAAATTTGCTTGTATATTTAGTTCTATTGTAATTATGGTCTTATCTTGTATATTTACCTAGCTAATGTAATTTATTGGTTTTTATCGCATGTCGTGCGATAAATTACATTATAATATTCGTTGCATGCACTTGTAAGAACTTATTTTTTGTTAGTTCTTTATTACATTCATGTATATATATACAGCAAGTGTAAGAGAAATACAACATGAATATGATTTCTAATGAGTTATGCTGACATGCTGAAATTTGCAGCTTATTCAAGCATGTGTCACCTTTAAAACTGGAATCCAATGATGGAGAAAACCAAAAGTCTGATGATACTGGATGTAGAGAAGCTCAATCTGTTTGGAAGCTGGATCTGATATACTACTGTTTAACTGATTAAGTTTATTTGTTATTTTGTTATATACTTAGTTGTAACAATGGTTTTTACTTTTTAGTTGCATAATGTCGAAAGGCAAACTACATTACATTGATGTAAAGAAAATGGTTCTTTTTTTTTTTTTAAGTCAAGCTTTACCGCCACATTTAACCGGAGAAGCGAGCAGGAGTATTCAATACACATTCAGACTCCTCATGGTACACTTTTGATTTTTCCGCTTGTGTTTACAAAAATGTTACTTAATGCGCATGTGTACAATTTTTAAATCCAACAGCAGTTCTATGCTGTGAATTGCTGTACATGACCTCATTATCAAATCTAGTGGCTTTCATGTGTGTGATGTTTCAGTACCTATTCGTTCTTTATAATTATTATGCCTTCAATATGCATCTAAAATGTACTGAAAATAAAGACACCATTATTTAACTGTATGATCATGTCTTACTGTTTGTGATAGTTACACAGAACACTTTATTCCCAGGAAGTTTAGGGCACCAAAAAAGTGGAAAACTCATTGCAACATGATTTAATTAATTTCAAAAAAAATCAACGACAAAACAAACACAAATCCTAACTTTTGAACTGATTAAAATAATTTGTATCATTTAGACGGTATACGAATTTAACAAACTTCCTTATATAGTAATAAGGAAATAAAGCAGTATTAAACAACTTCCTTGTGACAAGGTATTAATGACTTATAAAAAAAAAAAGGTATCGCATTCTGAATTTAACATTAAATGCATCTTTATTCATGGAAAATTCAATTTCATGTTTTGTTTTGTTTTGTTTTGTTTTTTTGTTTTTGGTCATTTGAACTGAATTGAAAATAGTAATATGAAAAGATTTTAGCAATATCCTTATTCATTAAATCATTCATAAAGGTATTTAAAAGCTTTAAAGCTTTTTCTTCATTTCGCATTTTTCCAGCAAAAACAAAACAAAACAAACAAAAAAGGTGTTTTGTGAAACACTGATGCCTCCGTATGGCAGCTTATGGGGAAGATTAAAGTTTCTCAAATGCAATTCAAAATCCAAGGAGAAGAGGTCAAAAATGTTGTTACTCAAAGAAAGGACTTGTGTCAATATGAAAGCCCAAGCACCAACCATTCAAAAAGTTATGGTCAAGGTTAATATTTTCTAAAAGTGAGTCAAATCCAAGGTCAGAGGGTCAAAATTAATAATATGCAGGGGAAGACATTATCTTAAAAAGTACAAATGCAAAATATAAAAGCCCTAGCACCACGTAATCAAAAGTTATGGCGAAGGTAAAAAGTTTTTCAAAGTAAGACAAACTCCAAAGTCAGAATTGTTGATTTCCAAAGGAAGTGTTTTTTTTCCACATGGAATATACCTGTGAAATTTGAAAGCCCTTGTTCCTAATGTTCAAAAGTAATCACCAAGTTTGAAGATTTTTTTTAAAAGTGAGTCAAACTCTAGGGTCAAGGTCAAAAAAATTTACACCCACAGAAAGGTTTTGTCACGATGAATACACTTGTGGAAAATGAAAGTATTAGGACGAACTGTTCAAAAGTTATTTCCAATTTAGGTTAAATTTGGGTAAATTTTTGCAAAAGTGGGTCATACTCCAAGGACAAGAGGTCAAATATGTTGGTACCCAGAGGAAGGTTTTGTCACAAGGAATACACAAGTGAAATATGAAAGCCATAGCTCCAATCAATCAAAAGTTATGACAAAACAACAGGCAGACAGACAGACAGGGCAAAACTATTTACCTCCGAATCTTCGATTACGGGGTCATAAAAAAACATTTTATAAGGAATATGTGTTTGGCAACTTTAACTCGACAGGCTGAGACCAGAAGAGCTTATGTGTCTGTCAGTTTGTAAACAATTTTTCAAAATGCTACTCATCATACAGTTCAATATTACTAACTGGGCACACAAGTAGACTAGCTATACACAAAGATTCATAATTTTGGATACATATATTTTTTTGGTTTAATAGTCTTTCATTCTGATGAACTGTCTTGCCATCGTGACTAAAAAATAGAAATTTTCTGTAAAATCGTTTCAAAACACTTCTACTACAGTTTTAGTCCGCACACAGGAAGACTACACTAAGATACATAATTCTTTACAGCGGTTTTTGATAAACGGCATTGCCATTGTTATTAAAAATAGAAATTTCTGTGAAATTTCTTCAATGACTACTCCTCCTTTAGTTTTTTCTTCGGATTTCATTAGAACTTTCTACCTAAGTAGACTAAGGTACACATGTTTTTATATCGGTTTTTAATTTTGATGAATGGTGTTGCCATGATTATTAAAAATATAATTTTCATCGAATTTCTTTCAAAATGCTACAGTAACTCCTCTTACAGTCTGGTCTAATTTAAACTTGGTACACATGTACACTGCACTAAGATACAAAATCCTTTATCAGTTTTTAATTTTAAATAACAAAGGGTGGTGTCATGTTACAAAAACATTTTGATAATTTTACTATATTTATTGATTAGTCCGTGCTGTTTTTTTTTTTCAGCCTAAAACGACCAAAGGGAAACTTGATGCATTTTAATTTATTATCACTAGATGAAATCCCGCGCAAGCGCGGGGAATTGAATCTATACCACTACCGACAGAAAATCCAATAATATATATATTGTAGTTTCTACTGACAGCCAACAGGCTTATAGCAGGAAGAAATACTTTGTTCAAAATCCCGCATGAAGTAGAAGTAGAAGTACGTCTCCATCCCCCCCCCCCCCCCCCGGCCTTGTATAACTTAAATAACAATTTCATTAATTGACGTTTATTGTTAAACCTGTTATATACTACGTTATGGATATTGTATATACTGTGTTATGGATATTGTACTTCAGATACTCTTATTTCATTTCTGTCAAGAAATGCACATTTTACTGAGAAATTGATTTTTTTTTTGGTAAAAATTCACAGGTACTTGGGTCTTGGTTTATAAATATGTATGTACCTTATTGATATGTAAAAACTGTACCTTACCTCTTTTTTTACATATCAATAAGGTACATACATATTTATAATCCAAGACCCAAGTACATGTGTAAAAATTAGCTTTTATATAACGCCCTATGAATGCACTGGCGGATTTAGAGGGGGCCCAGCCCCCCCCCCCCCCATTTTGTGTCCAAAATATACATAAAATTTAATAAATCTGTGTCTGTGGGCACCTACCCCAACCCCAAACTGGTCGCCCCCCCCCCCTTTTTAAAATTCCTATATCCGCCACTGGAATAGGCCGAGTATTTGATACAAAAGACTGTTTTCAAAAAAAAAACAAACTGAAATGTATTGATTAAAGTACAAAATTTTACAGCATAATTGTATTTGAACAATGCCTTGTTCATTAATTTTCTCTTTTCATGTAAGCAGGTTTATTGAATTAAGTCCAAATTGTACTTCGGGTTCGTTGCCACGATGCTCTCAGTGAGGAATATATACAATTTTTTACCGATAAATTTATTAGGAAAACCTACTAATTATATGTAATAGTCTTTTGATATATAAATATATTCACAACTTACAGTGTTATCAATGATTTACCATTATGTCAATGACCATTCACACAAAAGTTTTTTTTTATGTTAAAGCAGCTATTTTCTTTTTAACATCGGGCTCGATGCTATATGATGTTCTAGAAGCTTCCGTCAATATTACGATCGGTGAATGACAAAAATAATTTGCACATTTTCCTTTTTAATCGGTTATCACAACTTATTTCTTTTATATCATTTAAATCAAGTTTTGATTGAATAATTCAGTAATGACGTTTAATGAAATAAATAAACGATTGCTTGTTGCCAGTTTCATTAAAATTGCCAGTAACTTAGATCCGCCAACCGGAAACGCCACCGTACTCATGTTTTTGCTATTTCATGGCTGTTTATAGAAAATAAAAGTAGACTTTTAATTTAATGTACGATACTTACTATGCGAGTGAAATCTAAATATAGTTTACGGACATCATCTTGTATCTAGTGTATTCTTAGAGGAGTAAGTAAGAACTCTGGTGCACCCGTTTCGGAGTTTATTTGCAAAATTTATTAATTTATAAGTATAGATATTGTCCATTATTGTATTGCACGGTATATTACGACAGTGCATACTTTAAATATATATATATATATATGAGAAAAAAAATATATGTAGGGCTTTGAGCAAACATAACAACAGACATATATAACATTGTAAAAAAAATCTCAGTAAACCACACATAAAAATCCCCAGATAAACACATCAGATTATTTTCAATGGCTTCAAGTTGACAAAAATTATTTTGATCTCCACAACAACTTAATTTATTTATATATGTGTTGTACATGATTCCCTAGTACATCATCATATATTCCTGAACCTAATATAATTATGAAAAGAAACTGATACAGTGGGTAAACCAGGAAAGATATTAAATCTGTGCATGGCGACTTCAATGGTAGAACATCCAAGTACTTGAATTGTATTCCTTATAATGATAATGCATTTATATGTATCCCTATGTAACCAGAATAATACTGCTTAAGAAATTAACATGGAAAAAGTCAAGTCCAATTTCAAATTGGATAACTATGGCTAAGAACTTGTTGAATTTGTATCATTCAACAGTCAAAACGTTAAATTAACATAAGAATGCTGAATGGTAGAACACTGATGATATCTTTTGTAAACTTACACCATTTGGCTCAAGCGTAGTTGACTTTCTTACCATATTTGAAAAATTTTTGAATCTGGTTTTATATTTCAGTGTAAATTACTTTGATCCTTATCTGACTGTCATTGCTTATTACAAATGTGAAATGAATCGAGTCAATTAGGAGACAACAGTCGAAAAATAAGCAAGATGCAACTTATTTAACCACTTATGGTAAGAAAATTTGGCATTTAAACTTAAGAGAATGTAACTTCTGTGAACACTTATGCTATTAATAGTATACAGAAAGATCTGTCTGATTTGGCAAATTTTGAGATTCAGAATTTATTATTCTCACTGAATACTGCTGTAGACAAACTCCAAAATATTATTATTAGTGCAGCATCTAGATCCTTGAACAGAAAAAAAACAAAACAAAAACTAGAGCAGCAGACCCGAAAAGGAGGAAAAAAAACAAGAAATGGTTTGATGGAGATATAAAACGTCTGTTTCATATTTAGATAAATGTATTTGACTAGATTGATTGATTGATTGATTGATTGTTTGTTGTTTAACATCCCTCTCGAGAATTTTTCACTCATATGGAGACGCCACCACTTGCCGGTGGAGAGCTGCAAATTTTGTCCTATACTCGGCACTTACGGCCATTGAGCAGTGAGGGATCTTTTTCGTGCCAGCACCTACTGCCACACAGGACCTCGGTTTATACGGTCTCATCCGAAGGACCGGTCTCCACGTCCCACAGTGGGATTCGAACCCGCGACGTAAGGATCAACTCCTT